AACGTAATATTTGGTAAAATATAGCATGTGTTTCGTGCTTAAATTTTTTTTACTTGTTTCAATAAATTTTGTTACGTTATGGATAGATATTAGTGACACAGGGCTTGAATCTGTCATTTTCTTATTTGTACAAGGGCTTAAAAAAAAAGAAAACGTTTTCTCATACCTTAATAACGTTGTCATTATAACTTTTTTATGTTTTCAAAATAAATAAATGTAAATTTTTAGTATACTTCATACTTTGATCTATTAACAGACATACTTTTGCTACGAAAAGTTTAAAAACTACTAACCGCTTACATTTTTTTTTTTTTTAAGTTGCTTATCACGAAATCTAAATAATTTTTAGTAGAAGTGAAACTTACAGAAATTACCCGTCAATATAAACTAAATTATCTCACAAAATTTCAAAACATGTTTCCAGGTAATTATTGAAAAAGAGTCACTTAAAAATTTATTTTTTAACGTGGTCTCTTGTAAAAGGTTCTTTATTATAGATAACATTTAATACAATATCATCCAAGTTATACTTTAACTCTCGTTATAAAATTAGGTACTAAAACACTAAATCATGAGCTTTTTAAGGATATAAAGAAAATGTAGATTCACCAGCCCATATTGTATCAATATTGTGATATTTTATAATATTGTATAAGCAAAGTCATTTTTTATAAAAAGAATATATTACTTGGACCATGGCAACTAAATCACCCAATATTTTTAGGTGTGATAGTCTGATGTCACGCGAAATAGGTAATGCATGTGTGATGAGCCACCTTTTAACAGGTGAGATAAACCATGATAAGTATGAAGTACTTTACTATAGAATAAAAGTCAAAAAACACAAATACTCACTTTTATAGTTATCTCATCTGGAAGAAACTGCTTACAGTCAAGATGTAAATGTAGTGCATCCTACAAAAATACTTTCTCATACAGTAACCATAAATTATATTTTAAACAGAAAATAAGTGTTGTTTATTTATACCTTCTTGTTGCTGATTGAGGCATCAAAATTTTTGTTATCAAGAGTTAATTGTAGCAGTCTTGGTTGGACCTCAGTGGACGGATAGCTATTTCCACTATTCACAGGAAATCTACCAAAAATTAAATAGTTGATAGACATTTTTACAGATGTATCTTTTTAATGCGTGCTGTCAATTTAGGTAAATATGCTGATATGCACGCTTATTTAATGCTTCTGTAACAGTGTCTTGGATAAAACTATTTTTACTACTCGGTAGCTACGCTGGCTACTAACTGGAAGCTTCCAGATTTTTAGGAGTTTCGTATACGTGCTGTGTGCTAACTAACATTTTCTCTACTAAACTGAGCGAGCTCGAGTGCAAGTTCCCCTCTTTTTCTCAAAGAATTTGACTGCCTGTGGCTATATATTGCTTTGGCTGGGCCAAACGAACTTACAATAGATTTTTCACTGATGTTAATTGATTTGTTCCTTATACGTATATTGTACACAACTATAACTAACTACTTTAACATACTAGCTAATTTTCATAAATCATTTTTTTATACATGGATTGCAGGAAATATATTCTATATTTTAAATTTTTTAGGTCAATTTAAGTAATGTGAGTAATAACACGATTTTGTCAATTACTTTAAATCGTTAAATCAGAAAATTATTATAACTGTGATGTTAATCTCACTGTTTCTTTATGCTTCAAAGAAAAAAAAAAAACGTAATTGCATGAATGACAATCCAATAGTTTTACAAACACTGTTACTGTTTGCTGAAAGCATAGAAATAGTATTATTATGTACTTACTTACAGTTTTTATTACAGTGACAATAGAAAAAAACTCTCAAGAGATTATCGTGTTGTTGCTATGTAACTATTTTCTGCCTCGAATAATTCAAAAATTTATGTAAAGACGCTTGAAAATTAATGAAATGAAGACCTGTGACACCGCTATTAGTTCTTATTAAACAAGGAGCATTCATAAAAGATGTTCCTGTTTTTAAAAGATTTAACGATAAACAAAAATCTTTACCAGTAAAGAATTAAAATACGGCAAAAGTTCAAGTACGGAAAACTGATTCCTTACAACTAAAGTTTTGCTAAATATTTTAATTCAAAATCGATTGATTTCGTAGAATTCTTAAATCATTCTTTTATTTTCTAAACAAGTAAGAAGGTCATTTTCTAGGTTAGTTTTTAACGGTTGACTTATTAATCTTTAAAAAATACTTGTTACACAAATTATATAAATCTGGTATCTTAGGGTGTGGTCATATTATGGAGTACGTCATCTGCAATATGGAATACTTAAACTCATGAAATTGAGAGAGAGGTGCACGGAAGTAGCACGGAAGAGATCTATCTTTCACTCTCGTGGGCTCTAAAGGATTTCGTATGAGGATTCCGCACTCCATGTGGCAGCAGCCTAAAGATGCGGTCACATGGAGCGTACGGATCCACAACACACAACCTGGACTTCGAAGGCTGGCCAATAAAAAAAGTTTCGTTTCAAAAAGTTCCGTTTGTCAAATAGTAACCGTTTACATGGAATCGAAAAGTCCATACGAATTGATTTTTAATAGCGATTGTATTAGTTTTGCTGACAATTTCGTACCTTTTTAGATACTTTTGATTTAGGAAACAACTACCTTAAACGAAATTCGGACAAAGTTTTTTGATCCCATTTAAGCAATTTACTCTTGATAAAACGGAACGGCTAAAGATGCAGGTACATACAACTTGCTGATGTCAAAGACTTCTTTAACAGTTTCAAACAAAACCAAAAGAAAACAAGCATGAGCTGAGACGAAGTAGTCGTTGCTTACACTTTGTAATAAACATTTAAGGTTATGAAAACGATATCACATGCACTTCAAATTTGTCTGTATGAATACTGAATTTTCCGGACACAATCAATTTTTGCTATGATTTGCGGAAAATAGGGGTTTCTACACTATTTTTAGTGCGGAAAAATATTTTTCCGCCCTCGGGTGGTTTTGGGAGGCTGGTACTTCCTCGGGCGAAAAAGTAGTTTTTCGGAACTCGTTCGAAAAGTCTCCTTTACGAACCTCGTTACGGACCTCGCCTTCGGCTCGGGCCGCAAACCTCTCGGTTCGCAAACAAAGACTTTTCAAACTCGTAGGAAAACTACTATTCCGACCACCGAATAGTTATTTACGCAAGAAGTGCGGAAAAGACGATTTCCCGCACGAGTGTGATCGCATGGCACGAGTTACTGTCACTGGCCACGAGTGCGAGTCCATCACACGAGTGCGGGAAATCGTCCTGCACGAGTTGCGTACAAGTTTTTTCGTAACAAGTTTACGGAAAATGTGTGTCTTACGCACTGATATTAGTGTGGAAAATCGATTTACCTACACAGTGTGCGACACAGCGCACACTATTGCAAAAAAAGCTATATGCTATCTTCTAACAGATGTAAAGGATGGTAGAGGTAAATTATGTTCCAAAAAATTATACAAACTCTTTTTTCCACTAATGTATAAATGCACACTCAGTGAGACCGGTGTACAAGGAAGAGAAACTGGTTGTATAGTACAGGCGCAGAGTCAGGCGGGGAGTTCCCAGCAGAAGTTAAGCGAAGGATAAGTAAACTGTGAAAACTGTGGCAAATGGCAATATCGACAACGCCAGTGTGTATGCATCGCTCACATGTGCGCTCCACTCACCTACCCCAAACCATTCATAATAACTAAATGATAATATTACGTATGTTTATAAGATGCAAACAGAGATTTTGAGGAAAACTACCACACTGATATCAGCTAGCTTAAGCATATTATTTTCGATGTACTCCATTAATCGAACCCTATACTTCTGATAATTGAATAACTATTCACTAAAATATGTTACATATAATTAAATATTCAAAAGATAATTCGAATCTTTTTTTTATTACCTAAGGTTTAGGGTTTAATCTCCTAGAAATCGTATTCAATAAAAATTTCCAATAAAATCAAAAAAAGTGAAACAACAATATAGAAAAAAAGTGATTTAATGTAATGTAATAATTGGAAACATTGTAAGAAACAAAATATTTGTAAAAACCAATATTTTTTTTTTTTTTTTTTTAAATTTTAAGTTGAAATGTTTATTAGATATGTCTCATCAAGTCTTTATCATCCCTATAGTCTTTATCCTTCCTCCTTAGACAAGTCTTCACTCTCTTGTTCCCCTTCGTTCCAGCTAACGAGTTTCTTGTTCTGTATATTTCTTCCTTTCCTCTCTTTGCTTAGAGATGTCCTCCTGTTCTTTAGTAAACTCTCAGGTACTATCTCATTGACGGTTGCCCTGAAAAAGGTCAAGGTTCTCTTTCGCTCTCCTTATCTTTACTTTTACTTTTTTCTTCTTTCATTCTTTGCCTAATTCCAAAACCTTCGACCGACGGTCTGCCGCTTTATCCTCATCTCACTTGGCCAGAAGAACAACACAAGTTGGACAATAAAATCAGTTATTATTTAATTCTTTAAGCAATCAGAGTATATTTTAAGTACTTGAAAGAAAAATTCTTCAGATTATTTATCTTGGACCAGGTGTATTTTCCAAGTCACTTATAATTTTGATCCCAAATTATTTTTATGTCATAGACAGAAAAAAAGTGAAAGTGATAATATAGTCAATATGAATAAATAGAGGGAGAAATAACTTCGCATCCGTCGGTGAAAATATTTATATTTAGTTTTTCTGCATTATCTTATGCAAAATGATCCTCTGAACTCGAATTTGCATGTTTACAGACTTAAAAAATGGTCCCAAATTGTTTAAATAATTTTTTTAGACAAACTTTTCAAATTTTTTATTTTTACTCAAAAAATTTTCTTTTACTATCTTTAAACAATGAACAAAAAAATTGTCTTGCAACTTTTCTCTAAAGATAATACTTTCCGAAATAATAATTGCTAAAGTTCGAAAAGTGTGATAATGGCTACTTTCATCCATGGAAAACGATATGAAAAACTAACAATTTTTATGTTACTAAAGTTTTTAAATACTCTATAAACATCCTAGAACATATTCCCAAAACTTTTAAGACTTGTATTTTATTGCAACCCCTTATTTTTCAACTCTATTTTGGGCTCTCTGACGCTATTAAAAAGTACATCTGTACATGAAGGCCCGCGTCTCTCGTTCATTATTTACATACATATTATAAGATTAAACCACTGCCCGTCTTTCAACTGGGCCATGATTTTACCACAGTTAGAAAAAAATTTGACCATTGTTCGTATCTTGGCTCGGCCAAGATTTGACCACTGTTCGTATCTTGGCTCGGCCACGATTTCATCTTTATTTATATTTGGCACACCAAAGATTCCACCATCTATCGTCTTTTGGTCTATCCAAGATTTAATCTCCGTTCGTATTTTGGTTCGGCCGAAAATTTTATATCTGTTTGTATTAGGATTATGTTCGGTTTGTACATTAAAGATTTTATCATCGATCTTATCTTGGCTCAGCCAAGATTTGACCACTGTTCGTATTTGGGCTTAGCCAAGATTTGACCATCGACCATATTTTGGCTCGGCCTCTTATCTTGGCTCGGTCAAGATTTGACCACTGTTCAAATATTGGCTCGACCGTAGTATGACCATTTTTCGTACAATGGCTCGGCCAAGATTTTAGTTTTTTTAATACTCTTGCTTGGCCAAGATTAAACCACTGCCCGTCCCTCAACTTGGCCATGATTTCACCACAATTTATATTTTGGCCAACCCAAAATTTATCTACTGTTCGTATCTTGACTTGGCCAAGATTTGACCACTGTTCGTATCTTGGCTCGGCTACGATTTCATCTCTATTTCTATTTGGCACACCATAAATTTCACCATCAATCGTCTCTTGGCTCGTCAAAGATTTGACCTCTGTTCGTATCTTGGCTCAGCCAAAAACTTTATATGTATTAGGATTGAATTTGTTTCGTACATAAAAGATTTTATCATCGATATTATCTTGGCTTGGCCAAGATTTGACCACTTTTCGTATCTTGGCTCGGCCGTACAATGACCATTGTTCGTATTATGGCTCGGCCAAGGTTTTAGTGCTTTCAATACATTTGCTAGGCCAAGATTAGACCACTGCCCATATTTCTACTTGGCCATGATTTTACCACAGTTTGTATTTTGGCC